AGCAGCAAGCATAGCTCTGGTGAGCTAAGGCACACCTAGATTTGACCCACCAATACTGCCATGATTACATGTTTGTTGTTATTGCTTAATTGAATTCTCCTTCACTCCAACACAGTATCTTTTACACTAACTATTCCCTGGATACCAGAATAATTGGATAGGTTTGATGTGCGATACACTCCCTTACTGCACACCATTTGGCACATTGCCATAGCACCCATTATGTTTTACCCATGTAATAACTCTTTTGATAAGTTTTATGCAGACAGTGACCACTTCTCTGGTGCTCAATAGTATAAATTACTATGACACAATTACTATGATACTTTACAAGGTATGTAATAATATCAAAACTTGTTTCCCCATTCATTCTCTCTACAAGTTCAGGCCCTTACCCTATATCATATATTAAAATCAAGGCAAGTATATAGAAAGTAGGGGAAGTGGAGCTGTGGCTCAAGTGGTAAAGCCCTAGCCTTGAGCTAAAGAGCTCAAGGACAGCACTGAAAAGCTCACGGACAGCACTTAGGCCCAGAGTTCAAGACTCATAACTGAAAAAAAAAAAGAAAGTAGGCCAGGAATAGTGACACATGACCTATTAATGTTTTTCTGGTTGAAATTCCTGTGTGTGTATGTGCATGCGCATGCTCGTACGTTTGTCTACAGGCTGGTGCTGGGGCTTGAGCTCAGGGCCTGGGTACTGTTCCTGAGCTTTTTTGGCTCAAGGCTAGCACTCTACCACTTGAGCTCCATTTCTGGCTCTTGTATTGTTGTTTTTGCCAGTCCTGGGGCTTGAACTCAGGGCCTGTGTACTGTCCCTGAGCTTTTTGCTCAAGGCTAGCATTCTACCACTTGAGCCACAGCACTACTTCGGCTTTTTCTGTTTATGTGGTACTGAAGAATGAAGCCTAGAGATTCTCTAAGTAGATGGCACACTGTCCCAGTGAGTTTGAACCCTTTTGACAGACTTTTGCCTCTGATTTCTGTCTCCCTTTATAGTCCTTGCAAATGGCTGAAAAAAATGGGTATCACCTACTTTCTTATGAGATAGCTAAATGAAAAAAGGAACAATGTGCCATTCTTGGAAGTAGACAACTAAATTTAATTACTCTGATGAGATTAAGTTACTACTAAAATAAGGTAGGGTTGTACGGCCCTATTTCTATATAGAAATAACTCGTATCACCTGAGGCATAAAAGATTAGCTTTGGGGTTGGGGAAGATGGGAAGGGATGGTAATGGGAAACAAAGGAGGAGGCAACCAATGCTTGATAAGAAATGGACTCATTGCCTTGCTCATGTAATTGTAACCCCTCTGTACGGTTTTTCACAATAAAAAAAAAGATTAGTAATGAACATCAAGCGTTATGGAACATATCTATGATCCCAGCTACTTAGAAGGCATAGAAGTCACTCTACCATTTGAGTCACAGCACTACTACCTGTGGTTCACAATTGTAATCCTAACTACTCAGGAAGCTGAGATCAGAGGATCATAGAGTTCAAAGCCAGCCCCAGCAAAAAAAAGCTCATGAGACACTCATCTCCAGTTAACCACCAAAAAGCCAGAAGTGGAGCTTTGGCTCAAGTGGTAGAGCTCTTGCCTTGAGTAAAAAGTCTCAGGAACAGGACTAGAGTCCTGAGTTCAAGCCTCAGTACTGGTGCAGGGACATAAAAAAAATTCCAAACAGAGCCAATTTTTACTCAAGAAATCTTGATACCCAAAGAGATCTCTGCTTCTATTTGTAGTTTTTTCCACTCATGACCCTATATTGAATTTTTTTTCTTTTAGAAGTTTGTTCTTAAGCTGTCATTACTTTTTCTTCCTTTTGTGTATGTGTGCCAGTCCTCGGATTAGAACTCACTGCCTAGATGCTGTCTCCCTGAGATTTTTTGCTTTACTGCTTGAGCCAGAAATCCATTTCCAGATTTTTTTGGTGGTTAATTGGAGATGAGTCTCAGACTTTTTTTCACATGCCGGCTTTGAACTATGATCCTCAGATCTCAGCTTCCTGTGTAGCTAGGATTATAAGCATGAGCCACCAGTGCCCAGACTTTCATTACTGTCTTTATGAGTACCATACCTGTTTTGGATCCAGTGTACACAAAAGACATTTCATTAGTTTTAATGCTGCCTTTCCAGTATTATGGACATGAGGATAGGAAGGTTTCCTAGAATTTCCACAAATGTTCAACTTAACCTCTCTCCCATTTTAAATGGGCTTTCCTGTTACCATCCCAAATTTAGTTGATATTTCTTCCTATACTTCATCTGGAGGTCCCACTTCAGATGCCTGTGCTTTATCTTCAGCCAATGATACTGTGGTCACAGGGCCAAAACCCAGCCTTGACTTCTCTGTTGGAATCACAGTGAAATTTTCCTCAGAAGGGAGATATTGGGAAATTACATAGTTGAGAAAAGAGATGATCCCTAGAGATGGACAAAAAATTGAGATGAAGGTGAGTAGTAGATGATGTTTTGTCTTTTAAAAGTTCTTACTGGGCTGGGAAGGTGGCTCAGTGGTAGAGAGCTTGCCTTTCATGCATGAGCCCCTGGATTCAAATCCTCAGCACCACATAAGCAGAAAAAGTTGGAAGTGGTACTGTAGCTCAAAGTGGTAGAGTGTTAGCCTTGAGCTAAAGAGCTGAGGGACAGCACCCAGGCCCAGAGTTCAGGCCCCAGGACCAACCAAAAAAAAAAAAAAGGTCTTACTGCCTGGTGCCAATGGCTTATGCCTGTAATTCTAGCTACTGGAGGCTGAGAGCTGAGGATCAAAGCCAGCCTGGGCAGGAAAGTCCGTGAGACTTATCTCCAGTTAACCAGAAGTGGCGCTGTGCCTCAAGTGGTAGAGCATTAGCCTTGATCTGAAGAGCTTAGGGACAGCACCTAGGCCCAGAGTTCAAGCCCCACAATTGACCAAAAAAAGAAGGAAGAAAGGAAGGGAGGGAGGAAGGAAGGAAGGAAAGAAGGAAGGAAGGTGAAAAAAAAGGAAAGAAAAGAAAAAGAAGCTCAGGGACTGTTTACAGGCTCTTGAGTTCAAGCCCTAGGACTAGAAAAAAAAAGCTCAGGGACAGCGCCCAGGTCCTGACTTCAAGCCTCACAACCAACCAACCACACACACACATTCACACACAAAAGTTTTTACTCATTCTTTAATACTCAGTTCCAAAGGCCTTTTGTTTCTCTTTAAACTCCAGTGCTCCTATTTGCATTTACAGTAGTATTTCAGTTTGGTCAGGCTACAGCTTGAATCTCTTGGATTTAAATAATGGTTCAAATGTTTTCTTGTGGTCTTGAACAAATTATACAACCTATCATAGCCCACTTGGTGAGAAAACAGCTTACTAATTCTAGGTTTTCAGACTATATCGATACCACACTGCCTCTCCGTGTACAAATAAATGCTTAGAAGATGAAACCTTCACCTCCCTTTCCAGAAATATGTTTCCTTTTCATGTTTGCAGCACAGGACAGGGGATCTGACTCACCTGCACACACGTATAGGATGGTACTCCACCAATTAAGATAATAGGGCCATAGGAAATTGGACTCCATGACATCCGTTCGATGCCAGTGAACCTGTGCCAGAAACAGGTAGAGGCAGAGGAACAAGCAGATGGCTGGGACCAGAAGGAAAGATTTTACAACCCATCAGCATCTTCAGTGTACCTTGATTGTCACCCCCAGTCCTCTGCCTGTAGGATCATATACCTAGCAAGAATCAAATGATAAAAGCTGGGCACTGGTAGCTCATGCCAGTATTCCTAGCTACTCAGGAGGCTGAGATTTAAGGACCCAGGTTGGAAGCCAACCCAGGTAGGAGACTGACAATCTTATTTCCAATTAAGTACTAGAAAACTGGAAGTGGAACTGTGGCTCAAAGTGGTAGCGTTCTAGTGTTGAGCAAAAGAAGCTCAGGGACAGTGCCCAGACCCTGAGTTCAAGCCCCAGGATTGGCCAAAAAAAAAAAAAAAAAGTATAAGAAAAAAGGTTGAGAGCTGGGCACCGGTGGCTCACGCCTATAATCCTAGCTATTCAGGAGACTGAGATCTGAAGATCACGGTTCAAAGCCAGCCCAGGCAGGAAAGTCCATGAGACTCTTATCTCCAATAAACCACTAGAAAACTGGAAGTGGTGCTGTGGCTCAAGTGGTAGAGCACTTGCCTTGAGCTGAAGAGCTCAGGGAAACACCCAAGCCTAGAGTTCAAGCCCCACGACCGACCAAAAAAAAAAAAAAGAAAAGAAAAGAAAAAAGGTTGAGAAGCCCTAGAGACATTGCATTAGCTTGCCAGTCTAGGTTAGTACCTGTTAAGAAGCTGAGCAGAGATTCCTTCATATCCAAGTTGGTGATCATGCTTTCTCTTCCATGGAGACAAGAGCTAAAGAGCCAGCCAAGAGCAAAAAGTATGGCAAAGACAGAGATGAGGCAGAAGACCCTGGAGCTCTGGAGATAATCTGTGGGAATAAGAAGAAAGGAAGGGCCTGGTTAGACCAAAGGACATATTGCTTAAGGAAGCCACAGAGGGTCTTTTTTTTTCTTTCTACTTTTCCAGTCCTGGAGCTTGAACTCAGGGCCTGAATGCTGTCCCTGAGCTTCTTTTGTTCAAGTCTAATGTTCTACCACTTGAGCCACAGTGCCACTTCTGGCTTTTTCTGTTTACATGGTACTGAGGAATCAACCCCAGTGATTCATGCATGCTAGGCAATCACTCTACCACTAAGCCACATTCCCACCCCCCATGGAGAGAAAGAGGGAACCACGGGGCTGGGAAGGTGGCTCAGTGGTAGAGTGCTTGCCTTGCATGCATGAGCCCATGGGTTTGATTCCTCATCATCACATAAGCAGAAAAAGCTGGAAGTGGCGCTGCAAAGGTGGGAAAGTGGAAGGTGATAGCCTAGAGCTGAGGGATAGTGCCCAGGCCCAGAGTTCAAGCCCCACAACCGACCAATATATATATATTACTATTTTTTAAGTTTTACAAATATATTTTACTGTTTTAAAAATATGGGACACCACAAATTTGCATGTCATCCTCACACAGGGACCATGCTATTCTTCTCTGTATCATCCCAACTTTTAGTATACGTGCTGCTGACACTATCACTCTATAGTTGTTATTAAGGTGATGTACAGAGGGGCTACTCTTTCTCAAGTCAGGTAATAAGCTCATTTCTTTTTTCTTTTTTTCTTTTTTGCCAGTCGTGGGGCTTGGACTCAGGGTCTGGGCACTGTCCCTGAGCTTCTCTGTGCTCAAGTCTAGCACTCTACCACTTGAACCACAGCACTACTTCTGCCTTGTTCTGTTTATATGATACTGAGGAATCGAACCCAGGGCTTCATGCATGCTAGGCAAGTACTCTACCAGTAAGCCACATTCCCAGCCCATGAACACATTGTTTTTTCTTTTCTTTTTTGTTGGTCATAGGACTTGAACTCGGGCCTGGGTGCTGTTCCTTGGCTCGTCAGCTCAAGACTAGTGCTCTACCACTTGAGCCATAGCACCACTTCCGGTTTTCTGAGTGGTTTATTGAAGATAAGAGTCTCACAGACTTTCCTGCCCAGGCTGGCTTTGAACCGAGATCCTCAGATCTCAGCCTTCTGAGTAGCTAGGATTACAGATGTGAGCAACCGGTGCCCGGTGAACACATTTTTTAAAGAGTGCCAATTGATGACTTGACACAAGAAATCCTGGGGCCAGCAGTACAAAAAAGGTGGCCACATTCATAACTTCAGCCAAGATCCATGCTGAGTTTGGCCAGATGACAGTTTAGAGATCTTGGAGGAAGAAAGATAAAAAGCCAGTGTGGCAGGGCAGGGGGGAAGGAAGGGATGCCTGTGGCATCTACCTTCATGGCACTCACAGGGTGGCTTGGGGGTGTGGCTCCAGCACATCTCATGTTTACATATGGTCCAAAGTCCTGCATAGAACTGCAGACCGGTTTTGGTCACCAGGAACTCCACCCAGCTCAGTGGGCAGGTACAGAGCACCATCAGGAGGCTCAAGCCACAGAGACTTCCACAGAACATTCGGATGTAGGTGGATGTCCGATCCATATGGTACCGTTGCTTCTCGTGTGGCATGGAGGCATTCGGTTCTTCATTGGTGGGGAGGGTAGGCTACAAGGATGAGGGAAGTATTGTCTATCCAAAAAAGATAATCCCTGGTTCCCAAGGCCCTCTCATTCTTTGCTATCTTAGATCTCTATGGTTTTGTTTGTTTGTGTCAGTCCTGGGGCTTGAACTCAGGGGTCCTTGAGGGTTGTTTTTTTTTTTTGCTCAAGGCTAGCACTTTGCCACTTGAGTCACAGCTTCATTTTTGGCTTTTGTGGTGATGAATTGGAGTTAAGAGCCTCATGAACTTTCCTTCTTGAACTGGCATTGAACTGTGTAATCCTCAGATCTCAACAACCTAAGTACCCAGGATTACTGGCAGGAGCCACCAGCACCTGGCTACTCTATATAGGTTTGATTAGAAAATATCTTTATGGGTTTGTTGTTGTTCTATTTGTCAGTCTTGGGGCTTGAACTCAGGGCCTGGGTACTGCCTTGAGCTCTTTTTCCTCAAGGCTCTCACAGGGTAAGCCACAACATTGAGCCACAACTCCACTTTCTGTTATCTGGTGGTTATTTGGAGATAAATTACAAGCCCTTTCCTACCTGGGTTGGCTTTGAACCTTGAGTCTCTGCTCTCAGCCTCCTGAATTGCTGGGTTACAGGCATGAGCAACTAGCGCCCAGCTACAAAATATCTTCCCCAGCTGGGAAGGTGGCTCAGTGGTAGAGCGCTTACCTTGCATGCCTGAGTCTCTGGGTTCGATTCCTCAGCACCACATAAACAGAAAAAGCCAGAAGTGGGTGCTGTGGCTCAAGCAGAAGAGTGCTAGCCTTGAGCTGAAGAGCTTAGGGACAGCACCCAAGCCCAGAGTTCAGGCCCCACAACCGAAAAAATAAATCTTTCCCTAACCCTTGTAGCAAAAGAATTTTCAGAGTGATCTTTTTTCTTGTCCTTAAGTCATTCTCTTTGAGTCCTACCTTTAAATAAGTCCTCTTTCTCCCCTCTGATCTATAGTTAGGTACCACCTCACCCTTAGGTATTTCCGGTTTCCCTTCATTTTGGGGGCCTGAGGATTGTGGAAGGTCAAGATTTGTTCCTTCCTCTCCATCTTGGCAGCCAGTTCACATCCTAACTGTCACGGAATTTGTCTGAGCAAGTCCTTGTATATGCAGGCAGAGGCAAAAGGGAAGGCAAGTCATGTGGCACAGATGCTGTTTTTCTCTCATATTCTTGGTCCAGTCAATTGAACAAATGACCACAGTGTAAACATGCATGTATGTGTGACACTTCCTGTACACAAACCCTTAATTAAAAGAAATCCACAGATTTATCAGCAGTTTCGGATGTCAGTCTACATTAGATCCTGGGCATAAAGATAAGAGACAGCTCCATCTTAGCATGTAAGAAAGTGCAGCTCAACATGGGTCTAGCAAGCACAAGACCCTGAGTTCAAATCCTAGTATGCCAACTCTCTAGATAGAGGGACATAGATTAGAGAGTACATAGATGATAGTGTATATATTATATATACACTGTATATACATACATCATATATGTATATTATGTGTATTTATGTGTTATATAACACACACACACATATATTTAAAATCACTACATACCCATCAGAATGGCTCTGTGAAACAGTATTGGCATGTATGTGAAACAATTGGAACTCACCTTCACTCTGAGTGTGTGTGTGTGTGTGTGTGTGTGTGTGTGTGTGTGTGTGTGTGCGCGCGCATGCACCAGTACTGGAGCTTCAACTCAGAGACTTGCTCTCTTAGTTTTCTTTTTCTTTTTTTTTTTTGGGAGGTCCAGTCGTAGGGCCTGAACTCTGGGCCTGGGCACTGTCCCTCAGCTCTTCAGCTCAAGGCTAGCGCTCTTGAGCCACAGTGCCACTTCCAGCTTTTTTCTCTTTGCTTATGTGGGGCTGAGGAATCGAACCCAGGGCCTCGAGCATGCAAGGCAAGCGCTCTACCACTGAGCCACCTTCCCAGCCCCTTGCTTAGTTTTCTTGCTCACAGCTGGTGCTCTACCACTTGAGTCACTCTTCCAGTCCAGAATTTTGCTGTGTAATTGGAGACTGAGTTTTGTGGGCTTTTCTGCCTGGGTTGGCTTCTCACCATAATCATCTGAGTCTCAGCTTCCTGAATAACTGGGATTACAGGAATGAGTCACTGGCACCTGGCTCCTCACACACTTCTGTTGGACATGTAAACTGGTAAATTATTTTCAACAATTGCTTGGCATTATTTACTGAAGCTGGATATGCAACAGGAAAGTGTCCACCCAAAGACATGTGTTGGCATGTTCAAGCTACACTCTCCATAACAGACAAGATGGATACTTCCCAAATAGTCATCAACAGAAGAATGGAAATTTACTATGTGTCTATAAGGAAATACTATAGAGTAATACATGTAATCCACAACCACCCAAGCAAGGTAAGTTAACATTGTAAATGTAATGCCAAGTAAAAGAAGCCCAACAAGCTAGACAGGCTCATGCCTGTAAGCCTAGCAACTCAAGAGGCTGAGATCTGAGGATGGTGGTTCAAAGTCAGTCTGGGCAGGAAAGTGTGAAAATCTTTGTTGTTGGTCGTGGGGCCTGAACTCTGGGCCTGGGCACTGTCCCTCAGCTCCTCAGCTCAAGGTGAGCGCTCTACCACTTGAGCCACAGTGCCACTTTCAGCCTTTTCTGCTTATGTGGTGCTGAGGAATCAAATCCAGGGCTTCATGCATGCAAGACCAGCATTCTACCACTGAGCCACCTTCTCAGACCCTGTGAGAATCTTATCTCCAATAAACTACTCAAAAAAGCTGGAAGTGGCACTCTGCCTCAAGTGGTAGAGCCCTAGTTTTGAGCAAAAGAAGCTCAAGAACAGTGCCCAGGCCCATAGTCCCAGCCCCAGGACTGGCAAAAAAAAAAAAAAAATCCAGACATAAGATTGCAGCTATCAGTGGTTTCATGCTTGTAATCCTAGCTACTCAGGAGGCTAGAATCTGAGGATTGAGGCTCAAAGCCAGCCCAGGCAGAAAAGTCCTTAAGACTCCATCTCCAAAATAACCAGTAAAATAACAATAGTAATAATGACAGCAAAAAATTGCTTGCCAGTTGAGCAAGCAAGTTTAGTGAGCATAAAGTACCTAGTTCAACCTTGGCACACTAGCAAGACAAACCAAATCTCCAGAATGACATCTCCAAATGAAAAGCAACATTAATTAATGGGGACTATTTCTCAGCCTGTTGGCTAAGGGCGGGTGTAGAATGTGTTCTTATCAATGTAATTAATGGTTAGATGGGAAGAAGATAGATGCTGGTGAGATTATTCTCTTCAATGGGTATTGTAATGTTGTTTAGAACTGGAAACGTGGGTGGAACCTAAAGGTTCATTAATTAATAGGGAGTTGGGTAAATAAATTATGAGCATGTATACTGTTTCCATTGACTAATCTGTGTGTGTGTGTGTGTGTGTGTGTGTGTGTGTGTGTGTGTGTGTGTGTGTGTGTGTGTGTGTGTGTGTGTGTGTGTGTGTGTGCTGCTCCTGGAGCTTGAAGTCAGGATCTGGGTACTGTTGTCTAGCTTTTTTTTCTTTCTTCTTTTTTTTTTTTGGTCGGTCGTGAGGCTTGAACTCTGAGCTTGGGCGCTGTCCCTGTGCTTTTCAGTTCAAGGCAAGTGCTCTACCGCTTGAGCCACAGCACCACTTCCGGCTTTCTAGTGGTTTACTGGAGATAAGAGTCTCACGGACTTTCCTGCCCTGGCTGACTTTGAACCGTGATCCTCAGATCTCAGCCTCCTGAGTAGCTAGGATTACAGGTGTGAACCACTGACACCTGGCTCTGTCCCTTAGCTTTTACACTCAAGGCTGTCTCTCTATCACTTGAGCCCCAGCTTCACTTCTGGCTTTTTTTATTTTTTATTTATTTATTTTGTTGGTCGTGGGGCTTGAACTCTGGGCTCGGGCGCTGTCCCTGCTCTCTTCAGCTAAAGGCGAGCATTCTACTGCTTGAGCCACAGCGCCACTTCTGGTTTTCTAGTGGTTTATTGAAG